ATTATTATTATTATTAGGATAAATTTATAAACATAATATACCCCCTGGTGGTCCAGTAATATCTGTGACAGCATTATCTCTTCGCTCGATTTCTTTATTTTCATGGAAAATTTGCCAATTTAATATGCGTTAATTTTGCTTTGTACAATTTGAAAGGATTTGTTATCGATTAAAATTCAAATTTATTATTGATTAAAATTTCATCTTGATTTTGTCAAATTTCATACGAAATAAATTTCTCGGTAATTGTTAACAAATTATAGTCATTAAATTTTAATACAGTTTTTGATTAATTAATAAAATTGATTAGTTGAATATTATACAAACAAATGACAATATAGTTAGTTCTTTAATTATTTAATCCCTGTAGACATTAACAGGTAGTTAATTTGAAAAAAAGTTATACCGTTGAATTCAGGCCAATGAGCAGTTATGATGTAACGTTTGCAGCTTAAATTATTATTACGTGAAATATTAGCCTCTTTCAAATGTCCATCATACATCAATTTCAAAGTTTCATTTTTCCAAAATATTCTACGCCACGCAATAATACATTTATACCTATTGATCCATCAATTCTCATTTCTAGTATGAATTCATGTGAAGCTTCTACCTATTGATCCATCAATTCTCATTTCTAGTATGAATTCATGTGAAGCTTCTACCTATTGATTCATCAATTCTCATTTCTAGTATGAATTCATGTGAAGCTTCTGCAAATGCATCCATTTTCTATCATCATAAATATTATTTAGCAAAAAGTTAGCATTTTTAAAATTTTGTTGAAATATAATTTGATTTAAATTTTAGCAAATTATCAAAAGATAATTTTATCAGAGAATGAATAATGATAACTGATAAAATTTAAGAAAAATATTAAAGATAGCATCAATGAGGAAGAATAAGAAAAATTTCAAAATATGATTGATGAATTTAGGAAATGAAAAGTATATCAGTTGCTGAAAAATTTTCTTAGAATATTATCAATCAATTTTTAAATCATTCATCACAGAGGTATATATATATATTGGCCAAGGAATATTTATATATTTCTTTGTCAATATAATATAAACTATAACCTTATCAATATAATATAAACTATAAACTTATAAAGATTATAGTATTGAATGAGATGTAACTGCGATCTTATCACTTTTCAATTTAGTATTAATTCATATATATATATTCTACTCATATCATTAATTTGATTCAAATTAGTATTAATTCACATATATATTCAGATATATGTTTATTTATTTATCCTAGTTTCAATATATATTAATACATATATTTATTGATTTATTTGTTATTCATTATTTATTTATTTATTTATCTTAGTTTCCATACATATTCATACATACATTTATTTATTATTCATTACTTATTTATTTATTCATTAATCCTAGTTTCAATATATCTTCATACATATATATATATATATATATATATGTTTATTTATTATTTGTTTATTTATTTATTTACCTATTTATTTATTTATCCTAATTTCATTTTCTTTTTTCCATTTACAGAAAAAATATAAAGGATTTGACAAATTCAAATTTTTTACCTTCTGAATAAATTTCTTTTTTAGTAATTTGTTCATCGGTTATTTTCATTTCTCTTTTAGCTGTTTGCATAGCCGAAATAATATTTCATTTTTCACTAACAAATATAACGTAACTAAGGTAAGCAACTATTTCAATCATTTTGAAATTAAAATAATGACAGAAAATATTAATTGCCACCTTTTTTATTCCATTACTATTATACAAAATATTCAAATATTAATATTTTCATTAATTCTGAAACAACTAACGAAACAAATAAAACAAAAGAAATTTAATCATTCATTTTATTTTTGTTAAATCTTAAAGAATTTCAGGTAAACTTCCTAAATGCATAATTTATACTTCATTGCAAAGATTCGCAATTTCTCTCAATATATGTTTACAAATAATAACAGATTTCAGGAAAACTAAAATATGAAAATTTAATTAAAAAAAACGAAAGTAAAATGATATACTATCGATTATTACTGTATCAATACAATCGATTGTAATTACTGTATCAATACAATTGACTGTAATTATTGTAACAATACAATTAATTGTAAGATCATAACAGATAGCATTTTATTTAAGTATTTCAATTATAGATAGAGCGTTATGTATAATAGTAATACAATTGTAAATGATTACTAAAGTATTACTATTGTTTTATTAAATTTTCAGATAATTACTAATCAATAAATTGGTTTAATTGATTTCTAAATTCTGAAATACTTTTATAATCTTTCATAATTTTCAAAAGAAAAAAATTTATTATCAAATATCTAAAAGAAAATTTTACCATATTACGATATCAAAGTAAAAATGTTCATCGTTGAAAATAGTAATGCATAGCGTAGTATATATTTTTTCATTCGTAATTAGTGAAAATTCGTTGAAAATACCGTGAATTTAATTATAATGAAAATTGTCTAAGTACCATAACATTTTGTACATACTTGCTTACAGCATAGAATTGACGAAAGTAGATAAAGAATGGCTGAAATTAATGAAAATATATTAGCATCATATAATATCATGTAAATGATCAGTAATGATAGTAGGAATATTTATTAATTGTTAACTTAAAATAGCTTACTTATATGCCTAATGATGGATGATGTAAATATTACTATGAATTTGAATAATTTATTAATATTTATGAAAACGTCAGATAATACCAGCTATCAGTAGAAGCTTTCAATTATTAATTTCAGCATTAACTAGATTATGGAATAATTTAATTACATTATTTGTAGGATTATTTGCAAAATACTCTTACAAACTTATTTACTATTTTTAATTCCAAAATATAGGTAATGGTAATTAAAAGTAATATATGAAAATTTAAATTGATTAAGAAATAAAATAGAATATAACATTTAACAATATAATATTTAATATAACATAATATAACATTTAATATAATATATTTAATAATATAACATTTAATAGTTACATAGCTCCTTTTTAAAAAAATTAATGTTTGAGTAATTTAGCTTTTGATATCACAAGATGTGAATTTGCTCATAGAACTAGAAATAATCCTAAAAATCTATTATAATTATACCTAAATTTAAATAAACAATAAATCATGATAGCAAAAAATTAAATTAAAAAATTAAATGATCATTATATATTTAAAATTTTAATTCTATAACACTCCAAAATATATGTATTAAATTGTAATTATAAAAATCAATATTAAAAAAATAAAGAAACTAAAAAAATCAAACCTTCAATAATAGCAACGATAAATTGTATACTATTGATACCAATACCTATTTTAAGTTGAAGTAAACATTGTTTGAAATCATAACGACTCATCTCTGCTAAAATATATCGCATTCGTGAAGTATCATATTCACCAATCAAGCAAAATGCTTGATTACGATCAATTTTTGGATGTCGATAAGTACCGATTAATAATAAATTCCTACAAAAAGTTTTTTCAACCAGTAATTTCCAATGCTTACTATATCATCTTTTTTAATTTAGAATAACAGAATATTATAAAAGAAAAAATATATATGAAATACATGGTTAAATCCTAAAATCATTTTTAATTAATTTGAGATTTAATTAAAACAACCTTTTTCAAATATTCAATTTCTAATTGAATATTCACTAAAAATATATATAAATAAAAAATAAAATAAAATTTCATTATTATTGACTATTTATAGTTTCATTCGTTCACAATAAATGTTCGGATTAATTCTAGAAGTAAATGATAATATTATGCTTACTAATTTTGGCACACATTTGTTAATTACTAACAAATAAATGTTGTTAGATGATAGATGATTTTAAATAATGATATTAGTATTATGTATATTTCTGTTAAATATATTTAAGATTCTAATGATAGCATTGATAGATTATTCTATCATTAGAATCCTAAATATATTTTAGTAGCGATAGTAATTTTAGCAATTAATTAACATATTAGTTAATTAATTCCTATTAATAAATGTATTATATGATGATAATAGTTTCATTCTTTTTGTTCTTCGTTAAATAATAGTATAATAATTGATTACTTACCTAGCAGAGATCGCACCACTAATAACACATAGCATTAAGCATATTAATGAGAGTACCAAATATGTAACAAAGAAATTTACGGTACAACGTTTTGCCGTTACAATACCAATTAAAGCAGTTATAACAAATACTGCTGATGTCCAAATTGCAGAATGATATGGGCAAAATTCGGATGAATCATATAAGCACCAAATACCACCAGCTAACATGAAAACTAAAATAATTTTTCGTTATTGTCAAGAATTTACTCAACAAATAAATTTAATTATAAATTTGAAATTTCATTTGTTAAAAATACTAAAAGAAAATTTCATCAAACTATACAAACTTCATTTTTCTTATCTCTTTATCTATTCATATAATTTTATTGCATTTTAGGATTTTTCCATTATATCATATTTCACGTAATCGATAATAATAATTGTTAAATCAAATATGTTAATAAACGTGAAAAATTAAATTCATAATGCTAATTATTAAAGAATTTAAATTAATTCTTTAATTTCTTAATTGTCTAATTGATCAAATTATAATTTATATTCTATCAAAAGCTTAAGATTTTAAACATGCTAAAAAACTAACAGATTTCAATTTACAAAGCTAATCGCTATATCATTCATTCATTGTTACAACATAATTATGAATTAAATTTTACTGAAAAAATTATCATTTGAATGTAATGAGAGAAAAGTATATATA